CTTCTGGTTGAAGGAGGAGAGGAATCCGCTTCTGTGGAAGGGGAGGCTCTCTTTTCCTTGATTTGCTTGTGCTTCTTCAAATGCTTTTGCTTTTTGGCCTTCTTTTTGTGCTTTGCCTTCTTCTCTTTCCGGTGTTTTTTGCGGTGGCCGATGTATTTTGAGCTTAGGCTTGAAAATCCGTTGTGGGACCAAGACCTCGAGCGCTGCGAGAGACTTCTTTCGTCCCACTTGCCTGGGTCACTCAACCTACAAAGAAAGCAAATATAAAAAGCTTCATGAGCACACGCCGGTAGAGAGGGAAGGCCCAATTCAGCTCTTAACAATGCTGCTGGGGTGTTTGTTGGCACTGTTAGCAGCCTTTTCATAAAAAGGTTTTGGATTCTCTCCAGGCTGGCAATGGTGGAACCGTTCCAGCCCCATACCTCGACCCCATAAAGAAGTTGGGCGATTGTCTTGCTCTGGAAAAGCTTCAGGGCTGGGTGGGCGGCCCTGTTAGTCTGAAGCAGCAGAGAAAAGTTGGAGTCCAGGGGCACCTTTAAGACCAACAAAGTTTTATTCAGGGTATATGTTTTCATGTGCACTTCTGAAGAAGGGCGTGTGCACACAAAAACATATACCTTGAATTAAGCTTTGCTGGTCTTAAAGGTGCCCCCGGACTCCAACTTTGCTCTTTAGAATTCAAGTGTTTCACTACAGACAAAGTTCGTGCACAAAAGTTCAACAAAATTTTACACTTAACAAAAATACACTTCACCATCTTCCAAGCGCTTGCTCCCCCAAGTTCTACAAGGTGGAAGCTACATGCAAAACAGGTAGGCGGTTCCTATCCATTCAGCCCCGAGCTCTCATTTGTACCATTCTTACATTAAAGCATCTTTTCGACGACAACAAAATGGGGTAAGTACAGGTCCTTTGTAGCCTGACATCTTTTCTGTGCCTTTCAAAGAGTTCATACTTCACAAGAGACGACTCATTTAAGCGACCTTCACGTTTCCAGAAGAACCTTACTTGTCCCCTTTGCTCCACTTCTCTCCACTCGGTGGCCTATAGGCTCGTAGCCTCTGCATTTCTTCTTTCCAGTGGGGGGGAGTTTCGCTGCTTTCCTCATTGTCAGATTCCGAACATGAGCGAGAATGAGGCGGCGTGTGGTATCGCTAGAGAAGAGCAAACAGCACGAGTATGAAAAGGGGGAACGCAGAATCCATAACACAAAGGCATACGTGGGCAATTATGAAGTCTCATACATGGTCAAAAGACACTGCTGTAGGTGGACTACCTGTAGAATTTACCAGACAACAAACATTACCCTTACAGACTATTGTTAGAACAACTGGTTTAAGTCTTTGCAAGAAAGACAACTTATAAAGTAAGTAAACAGACAAACAAACAGTGTTGCTAAGTTTCGGTCCTTAGGAGGACATTTCATAAGAACATCAGAAGAACCCCAGGGCCCATCCTGTCCAGCATCCTCTCTCACACAGTGGCCAACTAGTTCCTCTGGAGGGCCAACAACAGGGCAGAGAGGCCGAGGCCTTCCCCTGACCCTTAAGCCCAAAAGGGAACACTTCTTTATACTTTTGGTACCCGTGTTTTCATTTTCATGAGGGGCTTTGGCTCACTGGTAGAGCATCCAGACCAGTGAGGGTCCATCTAGTCCAGCCTCCTGCCTCACACAGTGGCCAACCTGTACCTCTAGAGGGCCAACAACAGGGCAGAGAGGCCGAGGCCTTCCCCTGATGCTGCCTCCTGGCTCTGGAATTCAGAGGTTTAGTGCCTCTGATTGTGGAGGTTCCCCTCAGTCACCATGACTAGTCGCCACTGATAGACTTATCCTCCAGGAATCTGTCTAATCCCCTTTTAAAGCTGTTTATATCCCTGTGGCCATCACTGCATCCTCTGGCAGCGAATTCCACATTTTTAATCACTCTCTGTGTAAAGAACTATTTCCTTTCGTCCATCCTGAATTTTCACCAGCAGATGTGTGTGTGTGTGTGTGTGTGCCAATTCTTGCTTCGTATTGTAGACCACTCCTTTGGTCCTAGTTCTTTTTCTGGGGATCCCCTGAATCCCAGGGTTGGTATTGGGGGGGGGGGGGGAGAGCAGCAGGCAGCACTGGAAAGAAAGAGCTGGAAAGCCATACTCTACAAGCTCTACTCCAATTGCTGCTGTCCTTGGATCAAGTGACAGTAAGAGCAGAGCGTGCATAAAAAGCTGTGACATATCCAAGAACTTCTGAATTCAGGGACCCAGCTATTGGAGGGACTCTTTATCTAGCCCATCGACAGGCAAGTTACAGCATCTGTTTTGACCAGTGCTTTCAATTACAGTGTCCCTCCACTTTAGCCACATTATTTCGCTTAGCCTTCCCTGCTCTTCACTTTAGAAGGCTCCTTTAAGCCCAAAAGGGGACACTTCTTTATACTTTTGGTACCTGTGTTTTCATTTTCATGAGGGGTTTTGGCTCACTGGTAGAGCCTCTGCTTAGCATGCAGAAGGACCCAGGTTCAATCTCCGACATCTCCATTTAAAGCGATCAGGTAGGAGGTGATGTGAAAGACGTCAGCCTGAGACCTGGGACAGCTGCCGCCGATCTGAGTAGACAACACTGACTTCGATGGACCAAGGGTCTGATTCAGGTTAAGGCAGCTTCACGTCCTTTGCTGCCTCTCTTTCTTGACTCAGCCGGCTGAATAAGGCCTAGGTTGAGCATCTGCCCCGTAGGTTATTGAAGGTGCTTCGAAGGCTGGGCTTGGCCAGAAGCACAAGCCAAGGGAAAAGAGAGAAGGGCTGTAGCTCAGTGGTAGAGCATCTTGCTTGGCATGCAGAAGGTCCCAGGTTCAATCCCCAGCAACCCCAGTTAAAAGGACCAGGCAGTAGGTGATTTGGAAGACCTCAGCCTGGGACCTTGGAGAAGCATAGACAGGGGCTGTGGCTTCATGGTGGAACATCTGCTTGGCATGCAGAAGGTCCCAGGTTCAATCCCCAGCAACCCCAGTTAAAAGGACCAGCCAGTAGGGTGTGTGAAAGACCTCTGCCTGGGACCCTGAAGAGCCGCTGTCAGTCAGAGGAAACAAGACTGACCTTGATGGACCAAGGGTCTGGATTAATGTAAGGCAGCTTAATTTATTTTCAAGAGCCAAAGAACTCTGAGCCAGTAGAACCAGCACCTGCCTAGGTGATCCTTGGGGCCTGTCACCAGCTTTAAAAAAAATTCTGTCTATTTTTGTTTCAATTGTGATTTTAATTAATACTTCATTTTGCGTGCCACTTTGGAATCCCCAGTATATGAGAAAAGCAGGGTAGAGATATTTAAATATTTAAATGCCCTGCGCCTCCAGAGGTCCTGTATTACTACAGTTCTCAGTCATTTTATAAACATCCTGCTCTAGATATTCCTATATTGCTACCTTTTTTGGGGGGGGGGTCACTAAGGGGGGGTCACTAAGTTAGGTGGAAAGGCGGTAGAGAAAGATTTTAAATAAATATTTACAGTAGCAACATTTTCTGCCTGGAAAATATAAAAGTCTATTTCTATTTTGCCTTTTCCTCTCAACGCCTAGACCTGATAAGAAATGCATAGCTGAAAAGCATTCTTACAGTGCTTCAACCACCACTCCAGAGTCCAGGAGACTGAATCGTTTTGCTTCCTCCCTGGTAATGTTATGCGTACAGTAGGGGTGTGCATTTGGGTCTACCCGAGCCGAAAATATACCCGAAAAACACTTTATCGGAATTTCCCAGGTATATTTCGGCTTCCTGAATATATCTGGGTTTTCTCGGGAAAACTGGGGGGGGAAATCCGAAGAACATCATGGATATATTCAGGAATTTCGGGTAGATCTGAAAACAGCTGCTCCCGCCTCTCAGCTGTTTGTCCGGCAGGCTTATGCAGTCCCTTTAAACTTTAAAGGGAATACAGAAGTCAGCCCGAGGATCAGCCGGGGTGGAGGGGAGCTGACAGCTCCCCGCCCCCTCGGCTGTGGCTGTCTTTTCTTGCATTTAGCCACTCCCATTTTCTAAAACAATTAGCGGGCACCAGGAAAGGTGTTGGTGGGCACCATGACACCCCCGGACGCCATATTGGGGAACCCTGCTCTAAACTCTTTATCACAAGCATGTGATTATCTGTCCACTGTGCTGCCTGCTGCTCTCCTTTCACCACCCAAGAATGAACAGGAATCCCACAGGCTTCTCCACCAAACAAAACCACTTTTGTTCATACACACGTGCACAATTAAGTGGCTCAGGCAAGCAAGACATTAGTTTTTCAACTGCAACCAAAATAAAGCCACCATAGATGGAAAACTATATTATGAAAAACATACTATGGTGCCTCTTCCTCTGATTTTCCTTCCAGATTTAGACACTGAGGGCTTCTGGTCAGTCAAGGCTGGTGCTACGTCAACGGGCTTCCTTAAATGTTAAGAACAACGATGCAAGTATGAGGACATCAGCTCCACAAAAACAGAAATCTATTTTCCTGCAATCAAAATGTTAAAACATGGGACTTCACTGACCAAGGGACTCATAAGAACATAAGAGAAGCCTTGTTGGATCAGTCTGTGTCACACATTGGCCAATATCCAGGTGTCATCAAGAAGTACACCAGCGGGGCCAGAACGCCAAAAGCACACCCCCCCCCGTTGGCATCACTGCCCCAGGCTTATGAACATAAGAGAAGCCATGTTGGATCAGGCCAGTGGCCCATCCAGTCCAACACTCTGTGTCACACAGTGGCCAAAAATACCAGGGGCCATCAGGAGGTCCAGCAGTGGGGCCAGGACTCCAGGAGCTCTCCCACTGTGCCCCCCTCAAGCACCAAGAATACAGAGCATCCCTTGCCCCAGACTGAGAGTTCCTATCTATACCTTGTGGCTAAGAGCCACTGATGGACCTCTGCTCCGTATCTTTATCCATAAGAACGTAAGAAAAGCCAGTGTTGGATCAGGCCAATGGCCCATACAGTCCAACACTCTGTGTCACACAGTGGCCAAAACCCAGGTGACATCAGGAGGTCCACCCACGGGGCCAGAACTCCAGAAGTCCTCCCACTCCAACAGTAGCAGACAACGGCTGATTTGTGCTACTGCTCAACTGGCCCACGGCACAGACTAGTTACTTCTAGTTCAAAACCGGCATTTGTTTTCCTTGTCTCAGCTACAGGAATTTTCACCCACAGAAAAGCAAACACCTACTGTTGGGAAAACAGTCATTGGAAAATACTGCACAATAAAGACTCATTGTTCTATGCGCTAAGATGGGCCTGATAAACTGGACATCTGAAGTTTTGCTGGTGTCCCCTGAAGAAGGACTCCGAGGTGTGACTGAGTGCCAGTCAATTCCTAAAGGAGCTCCTTGAAGCTGCTGGCAAGTAAACTCTGGTGAGCTGACTGAATAATCACAGCTAATTTTGTACTAGGAAGTGTTCTTTGAGGAACAAATGCACAGTAATAGTAAGGTGGTCCTTAACTTGAGATTGTTTGTAGCACCAAAAATTTGGAGCTCCCTCCCCAGGGAGAACAATCTTCTCCCTCTATCAGTAACGTCCACCAGTGGATGAATTTTTGTTTGTTTGTTTCATTTGGCAACCCCTCAATAATGGGTTTGGGCCTCCTCTATGATTCTGATGCTGCCAGCTTATGGACTTTTATTGAATTATTTTATGATTTTTAAAAGCTGTTTTTTGGTGCCGCCTCAAATATTTCAATGTTTTTATGTTCGCGGCTTTGGGGCCCCTGATCAAGTGGAAAGGTGGCGTAAAAATGGTTCAAATAAATAAGATGAACGGGACACAGATATGCTCTTCATCGCTGTAAGGATCACAGCAGCTGTAACAGGTGGGAACTCAACAGAGGCTTGATTAACACATGGAATCCATTGCTCACAGGAGGTGGTGGCAGCTCCAAGCATGGACGGCTTCAAGAGGGAATTAGATAAGCATATGGAGCAGAGGTCCATCAGTGGCTATGAGCCACAAGGTACAGATAGGAACTCTCAGTCTGGGGCAAGGGATGTTCTGTGTTCTTGGTGCTTGGGGGGGGGCAACAGTGGGAGGGCTTCTAGTGTCCTGGCCCCAACTGCTGGATCTCCTGATGGCACCTGGCTTTGTTGGCCACTGTGTGACAAGAGTGTTGGACTGGATGGGCCATTGGCCTGAGCCAGCATTGGCTTCTCCTATGTTCTTATGTTAATTGGTGGTAATTCAACACAGATCACCATATAACATAGACCAAGACCTGAAGAGCACACACCAGTCTTTTTTCACAGTCTTTTACACGCTTGCTGCAAGGTATGTCAAGAACCACTGGGCTTCCACGTAGAAGAAGAGAAGAGAAGAAGAGATTGGATATATACCCCATGGCCCCAGAGCTGGAGTCTCAGAGCGGCTTACAAACTCCTTTTCCCTTCCCCTCCCCACAACAGACACCCTGTGAGGTGGGTGGGGCTGAGAGAGCTCTGACACAAACTGCTCTTTTTCAAGGACAGCTGTGCCAGAGCTTGTGACTGACCCAAGGTCACATCAGCAGGTGCAAATGGAGGAATGGGGAATGAATTACGTATGAATTAATAAGTACTTGAGCGATGGAAATATTAGATGCTATGATGGTCAACACGTCATCTGTCTTTCATGCTAGTGGCATCCCTAAAGCAAACAGCGACCTGACTGCACTGCTTCGTAACAATCCAGTGCTCGTGTCAGCTTTTATAAATAGCGTCTGGGAGACGCTACTGTTAGAGACAGACTACCTGGCTACATACAAAATTCCTTCCTTTCCCAGAGAGTAGTAATTAGACTTTAACTTCTACATGTAATACTCATTTTTTTGGCCACAGAATCATTCCGGCAAACATCACTGTCGGCATATAGGTACGTAAACTGTCATTTATGTATCGCAAGTCATGAGAATCCAGGGCTAACCCCATAACTAGAAACACCTACGTTGGCTCAAGGATTACGGGAAGCAGGTAAGGGAAGAGCCCCACAAAAGGGATGAGCACAAGAAAGAAAGCTTTTGGCATACTGCTCAGGCTCTGTGGTTACGACTGGTGCATCTCTCCTCAGCAAAAATCGATTTTCTGGCACCGGGGGGATTTCTTCTGGACGGACAACCGGCTTGTCCCTTTTTGCATTCGGGTCTGCCAATTTTTCGTTTGCTTCACTTTTGTCAGTATGGCTGGAGGGAAAGAAATTAGTTTTTAGACCATACGCTAGATGAAGCTGTCTGAACATCTACTGGGGCTAGCTCATATCTTTTCAAACAACCCAAATGCAAAGAGCAGCAGCACAGTCTAGATCAGGGGTGTTGAACTCATTTGTTATGAGGGCCGGATCTGGCATAAATGAGACCTTGTTAGGCCGGGCCATGCGTGTCATAAAATGTAATGCCAGGTAGCGGAGATTTAAACTTTACAAAGGACACAAACACAAGGTGTTTTTTTTTTTTACTTAAAATAAAAACATGCTCAAAACATCAGCACTCCTGCAATATTTCGTTTACAATTTGTATATTGCCTGATAACTGACACCTCTTGCTCTGAATTATTGCATCAAAAGCAGCAGGAGACAGCCAGTTCCACTGCGGGCCTGATAGAAACCCTCCGGGGCCTGATCCGGCCCCCGGGCCGCATGTTTGACAACCTGGTCTAGATCCTGCATTTTAACTTGCTCAACAAAACCTTCCTAGAAACATTAACAAGTTTCCCCCACATATCCCCACTTGATTTAACCATCTCCAGACACTCTGGTAAACCAGAACTTTCACTTTTCATCTGTAAAGCCAGCACCCCTGACTTTTCCAAATACCCTGGCAACCTATCCAGTACCTCCTCTGGCCTGAGGCCCGTTTGCTCTTGGGTTCTTCTTTCTTTTTCTCCTCCCTTCTTCGTTTCCTCGATTGCTTCGTCGTTTTGGTTCTCCTCTTGCGCTTCCTCTTCCTGGTTCTCTCATCGTCGGAGTCGCTGGCGGACGAAGAGTCCGACGAAGGAGATGAGCTGCTGCTAGAAGTATCCGAAGCTTCAGAGTGGGGAGACACCTTCCTCTTCTTTTCTAACACTTTGGATGACACAAGGCGATGCATTTCTGTGATGCCCTCTAGTAAAACATTTTGGATCTTATAAACCGTGCACGCACACAAAAGCTTATACCCCTAATTAAACTTTGTTGGTCTTAAAAGTGCCACTGGACTCAAAACTTTGTTTGGTTGCTTCAGGCCAACATGGCTACCCACCTGAATCTATTTTGGATCGGTATTCAGCATGGATAAGGTCACAGACATAACAGAAGACTACTCCGCAGAGACACATTTTACCAACTGTTTAAAATGGCACAGCAGGTTAACTTTGCTTTACTGATCGCTCTGCTCCCGCTGCTGAGCCTGCCTTTATTCCGGGTGTGTGTATGTGCAAATCCCTGCATTTGGCATGCAAGTCACGGCCAGACAATCCAGCCAATACCCTAGTCAAAGAAAGCTGCTAGTATTATTGCTGAACAAATAGAAACGGCGGCGTCTGCATGAGACAAGTTCTCCAAAGGTTGCAGGGCCCTGGTTAGTATTTGGATAGGAAACCAGAGGCAGGCAATGGCACATCCCCTCTGAATGTCTCTTACCTTGAAAACCCTACGGGGTCGCCAAAAGTCAGCTGCGACTTGACCGCACTTTCCACCACCATTAACAGATGCATTAACTCGTGAAGTTAGCAAATTCTTGGCAGCTGGGCTCTTTTTGTAGCAGGAACTCCTTTGCATATTAGGTGACACACACCCTAATGTAGCCAATCCTCCAAGAGCTTACAGTAGCCCCCTTAAGAAGAGCTCTGTAAGATCTGGGGGTTGGGCTATGTGGGGGGGGGGGGGTCGCCTAATAGGCAAAGGAGTTCCTGCTACAAAAAGAGCCCTGCTTGGCAGAGATGCAAGTTGTGAAAACAGGCTATTGTTAGGACACTTTGGCCTCCTGGAAGTGGATCGTGATCCACCGGTTCATTTTATCATTTCAACATCTCAAAATAATGTAATAAAGCAAGAACGTTTATTCTGGCAGCCTAGGCTTACAAAGAAGCAGCCGGGACTATGTTTTCGTTTAATACTCAGTATCAGCTCCTTGCATGTGGGAAGAAAATAAATGACCCAGCTTGGTTCTATGCTGCAAAACGGCACTGGCCACAAAGGCAGCCTGTCAGAAAGGGTTTCTAGAGTTCTAATCCAAACTAAATCATGCCAGGGGGGCTCTAGAACATGTGTTCTGCCTTATCCTGAATCAGACTCCTGGTCCATCGAGGTCAGCATGGTCTACTCAGGCTGTTGGCAGCTCTCCAGCAAAGGTCTTTCCCATCATCTCCTGCCTGGTCCATTTAACTGGAGATGCCGGGGATTGAACCTGGGACCTCCTGCGTGCCAAGAAGATGCTCTCCAACTGAGCCACGGCCCCTCCCATGATTCAGACCCTTGGTCCATCGAGGTCAGTAGGCTCTCCAGAGTCTCAGGCAAAGGTCTCTCAGATCACCTACTGCCAGATCTTTTATTTTATTTTATTTTATTTATTTAATTTCTATCCCGCCCTCTCCGCCAAGGCAGGCTCAGGGTGGCTTACAAGATATATATATATACGTAGACATGGTGAGCGATGGCGGTATTCTTTCAGCATCCAGATGGACCCCTAACCCCCATAGTCCGGGGGTTCTTGCCAGGCTATTCGTTGGTACTCACGTTGGGGCCAGGGCCACGTATTAAGAGGCAGCCCCTAACCGAAGGCCTGGTGGAAGAGCTCCGTTTTACAGGCCCTGCGGAACTGTAAAAGGTCCCGCGGGACCCTGATGTCACCTGGGAGCTTGTTCCACCAGTATGGAGCCGCCACTGAGAAGGCCCTCGTCACAGCTAGCCTGGCTTCTTTAGGGCCCGGGAGGGCCAACTGGTTTTTGGACCTCGAACTTAGTGCTCTCTGGGGAACATAAGGGGAAAGACGGTCCCTTAGGTAAGTAGGTCCCTGACCATATAGGGCTTTAACTGGAGATGCCAGGGACTGCACACCTGGAACCTTCTGCGTGCAAAGCAGAGGTTCTTCCACTAAGCCATGGCTCCTCCCTAGAACTAGTACAAAACTTCCCAGTGACGCATCTTATACATTTTTCAAGCTCGACTATCACGGCTTACCGTTCTTTGCCGATTTTGTGACCAGCACCCCACACTTAATAACTCGCACATCTGCGTACGGCCGGCTGGCGGCATCGGTTTTCAGGTTTTCAATTTGCTCTATGACTTCAAAGCCGGAAATAACCAGCCCAAAGACAACGTGTACACTGTGGAAACAGGAGGCGCAAGGAGAATGCTGTTTATACACACACGTGCACAAGGAGGACGCCGCTTTGAGTCATCATCCAACAGATGTCATTCTTACCCAGAATTACTGGTCAGACCTAGACTGAGTCATCCATTAAGTGATCCTAATTATATACCCAGATGTTAATTAGGAGGAGGGGAAAACTTGCAAAGGTTTAGCGATAGCCACAAAAACGCTACCCGCCTGACAGGAGGAGGGCAAGGTACCTTCAGGACAACTCTTCCTTTTGGAAGGGAATGGCTTCTATTAGAACAAGCTGTAGACTAAGAGAGCATGTTATTTGCACAGCGGCTGGGAATAGCAGGGCCTTTTCTAGCAAAATGTTTTGTATATGGATATTGTTTCAGAAACGTTGATGTCATCTCGATATCTAGGATGTTTCAGTTTTTCAAGGCCTGTACTCCTTTTTTAAAGGTAGGACTGCTACACTCACAGCAGGCTATTATCACAAGGGATTGGCACAAATTGCATTTTTAGCGGTTCAACCATGAACCTGTATGAACTCGGATGCTGGTTTGAGAACCGAACTGGTTCGTATGGGTTCGTTCATACCTCATATACATTAAGAAACATTTCATTAGGAACATTTGGCTGTACAAGCTCAGGAGAGTATATAAGTTGACCAGAGAAAAGGACTACTGGACATGTGATTGCACTGGAGGTTGTATTTGTATTTTTGTATTTCTCTTCTTTGCCCAGTGGTTAAACTTTGGAACAATTGTTTTCTGGTCTCTATTGCATATTCTGTATATGTATGATTGTATATATTTTTACATATCAGCCAACATGTTCTATTTGTATTAGACCTCTGAGGAAGGCCTGTAAAGGCCGAAACGTGTTAGGTCTATTTCATCAGCCTTTGTATGTTTTTATATTTGTATATGAGGTATGAATGGGCCCTTATTCGTTATTTTAATTTGTGTTTAATAAATACATGTATATTTTGTAGGTTTCATAATTAGATTTTAAGAGTTGGCCCTCTTCTATTCTTGACTAACCTTTATAGGTTCTGAACTTTCCACCACAATACATGGTCAACACATTCTTTACACCCCCATCGCTGCATTTTATCCTCAGAACATCCCCGTGAAGTAGTTTAAGCTGTGATACGGTCACCAACCCAAGTGTAATACCGCAGTCCTAAACAGAGGTACACCTTTTAAGCCCATCGATTTCAACAGACTTCGAAGGGTGTAATGCTGTTCACGACTGCACCGCAAGTTCACGCCATGGCCATAAAGGGATCTCAAAGGGCACGCTGAGGAAGGGTTTCCAGTTCAGGGGGCACAGCCAAGAATTTAGCCATTAAAAAAAGGGTGTCTTACTTGTCAAGATGAGGAGCGGGCTTTGTAGTTCTGCTTAACACCAACATGCATGAGATGATTTTTTGGGGGAAGGAAAAAAAATCAGGTGTTCAGATGAGGAGGTAAAAAGGCAGAATGGCACATAGAACAAAAAAAAAAGTAAAGGAAGAAAAAAAACACAGAACATAGTTAATAGTTTTGTACGCTAACATCTGATTCATACTAATCACAGGAAATATATTATGTTTTTAGTAGTGATTAACGTTACGATAGTCACATGTCAGTTTTTTTCTGTATCAGATTACATGCATACAGTGTACATAAATATATATATATTTAATGCAACAGCTTCTTAAGTTTCACCGTGGCTGCAACTGAGCAACTAACTGCAAAGAGACCTGCGTTGCTCTATTGCACAGGACTGTGTCCTATGGGCTTGACCTAGGCTACCTCAAGCAAATTCACAGAAGGACCCCTTGCCATCATCTGCAGGCCTACGAAACTCCCAGAAGCCTACTACTGAGTGTCAGGGGACTCTTGTGAATGGCCTGAGATCTGCACAGGCAATGGGAAAACTGGCAGAAGACACCTCCTCCTTCCTGTACAAACACCTGCCATTCATATCAGAGGTCTTGCAAGGGGCAGAAATTCCACCAATTCCCCTACTTCTTTACACCCCACACCTGAACCTTAGCAGGAGGGTATGGGGGATGCGGGAAGACAAAGCAGGCAGCAGAGTTCCCTTCTGTCAGCTCAGCTATTGTAATCTGGGTTGCATCCTACAGTTCTTGACAACAGCACTGAAATATTGATGTGGCTGCCGCTTTTGCGACTGTCGCCTAGCACTATGCGGCTTTTAGCAGTCAACTCCTACACACAAAGGCAGAGACAGACATAAAAATCACAGAATCCACAAAACTCCTTACCTACAACTATGCTCCTGAGTCTATTAATCAACCCCAGAGCTTTTCGTTAAGAGACTGTGTTGCTGCAACGGCTATATTTCTGGACTACTTGTCAGGCAAGTTTGCACACTGATAGCACGATCCTGAGTAGACTTCTGCCCTAAGTCCACTCTTAATCAACCCCAGAGCTTTTCTTTAAGAGACTGCGTTGCTGCAACGGCTATATTTCTGGTCTACTTGTCAGGCAAGTTCGCACACTGATAGCACGTTCCTGAGTAGACTTCTGCCCTAAGTCCACTGAAAGGAATGGCCTTAGAAAGGCAGAAGTCTGTTTAGGATTGCCCTGTCAATCATTCATTGAGTCTACAATGCAGCTACTTTTGACCTCTGAAAATCTGGATTATCCTTCCCTAAGTCTGTTCATTTATCCATTTCCTTTGGGGGGGGGGGATCCGCCTTGGGCAAACTGAGGTGGACTTGAAAGTCTTACCATCCTTTGAAGTGGGGGAGGGGAAGATACTTTACAGCATCGAAACTGTTTTCAAACCAAATTGCAGGAAGACTGAATTAAAATCACAACAGAAATCTCATGAGTCAACTAACTGGATTCTAAGTATTAAAAAGGACTTCTGCAAATTCTAATAAAGTTTAACTTATGAGGGGTTTTTTAAAGAGCGTGTGCATTTAGAGCTAAACAGAATATCTGGAAAGTTTCACTCCTCTGAACATGGTGCCCCAATCACCACTTAACCCCTTCAGTCCAAGAACCCACACAGCTGTGCTCCGACAGTTCCATTCTGTAAAAGCAGTACAAGGGCAGAACTCTGCAAAAGGATCGAGCCACAGACCTCGCAGGGGGAAAAACTGCAACCTTCGTAGAACATGTGCGCCTTTGTGTCATGAAAAACGCATTTCCATAGCAAATGGCCAGAAACTAATGCAGAGCTGTAAGGCTCTTCCTCTAAAGCTCCCTTAACGTTTGCCACACTTTCAAAGTGTTATATTTTCCTGTAAACACGGCAGTTTCCATACATCAGCTGATTTATTATACCCTCAGTGAAATAAGGACTGGAAGTCTTGCGCTGCGCAATAAACAGGGCACATACGTGGTACATCTCATTAAATGTCCGGAAAAGTCTGAGGCTTCTGTTCAATAATCCACGGAGGTGTGTGTTTAACTTTCATGGAGATTAAAGCCGCTGTAGAGGACATTAAGCATGTGCTCAAGTGTCTTGGGGGACAGAAGAACATTCACCAACCTGACAAGGAATGGAATGCGCTGCCAAGCAAGCGACACCTTGCTGGTACCTGGTGCTTCACGCATTATCCTGCTGCAGCTACTTCTGGCTTAATTCGGTGGGTAACACAGAAGGAGCTTCGCACCAGGATAAAGTAGGAACTGGCTCTCAGTAAAAGAGATAAGCATTTTCCTCATTTTGTTCTTCATACAAATAGTGAGGCTCACCAGTGAAAAGGCTGGGATTTGGCTCCAGAAACACATCTTGCCCCGGTTATGGGGCTTTCCCACATTCTCATTTTACTTGCTTGTAATTTCCCATTTCTTCAGGGTTTTTTTTTAATAGAATCATAGAGTTGGAAGGGTCCATACAGACCACCTAGTCCAATGATGGCGAATCTTTTAGAGACCGAGCGCCCAAACTGCGACCCGAAACCCACTTATTTATCGCAAAGTGCCAACACGGCAATTTAACCTGAATACTGAGGTTTTACTTTAGAGAAAACAACTCATACATTAACTTAAGATGTTCCAAACACAGTAAGGAAAGCAATCCCAAATGCTTTCATTTACTTAAAATTATTTGGCAGAGAATTTGACACTTTAATGATGGTCTGGGCCTGGCTGGGGTGATGGCACGCGTGCCCACAGAGAGGGCTCTGAGTGCCACCTCTGGAACCCGTGCCATAGGTTCGCCACCACTGCTACAGTCCAACCCCCTGCCCCAATGCAGGACCAGCCTAAAGCATCTCTGACAAATATTCATCCAGCCTGTGTTTCCTGTGTTTTGCTCTCTCTCCAGTGGTTGATTTGATATGACACCAGTTTATGTCTGGCACAAAAGCTGCAGAGAGACATGCCGGACATAAACCGGTGAAATATCGAATTGACCATGAGAGGGAGCAGAATACGTGATGAACCATTCTTCCTGCCTCAAGGAAACAGGAACTTACGAGCAAGGAAAATGAGGACGCGGAAAACCCTACTGATATACTGGACAGTTTATTACACGCCCTTCTCCTTCAGTTCCCTTATCTGTACAACAGGACAAATCCAGCAAAAGAAATACAAGGGTGAACGCAACATACTAAAACCCTGAGATTTCTGAAATTACTGGGGGGGGGAGAATGATCAAAGATGAAACCAATTCCAAACACTTCCAGAGGAAGAAGTATATTTAATAATCTATTTTGTGTCTGGAGACTTCCCCACAAAACAAGAGCTCAATTTATACTTTTGAGTGACTTTAATATTGCCTTTTTATTACTCACATACAAGTCTGAACATTTTTCAAAAAAGCCAGTGAAGATAAAACCCACTGCACCTTTCAGTAACTGGAAGAACAATTACAATATTTTAATTGTCCCTTGTACTTACTGATGTTCCAGTAAGTCTGAAAACTCTGTATTTGCATCAGGTTAAAAATAAAGTGGGTGGTGCCTATATAACCAACGTATATTAACCAGCAATTCTTCCACAGAAACTCTGCTGCACAATTGCAACCAGAGCATAAAGATGGTGAAGTACCCATCCTGCAACCTTCCCCCCCCAAAAAAAAACCTTTTAGAAAACACTTCTCG